TTACTCTCTCTCTCTCTCTCTCTCTCTCTCACACACACACACACACACACACACACACACACACAGACACACACACACACAAACATTCACCCAAATTACACTCACACTCACACAACACAGCAAATTTGCATGCAGACTAAGCTTATGCCCTTCCAAACATGCGTCAACACTCAAACTTTCAGAAACTCATTCACACAGATGATGTTGAAGCTGTCCGTGATCATTCTCCTTACTCACCAACTCATCGACCCAAAAACAACAAATCAAATACAATGTAAAATCATAACAAGGAGTAGTGTATGAGCCATCATGAGCACTCCACCTTCATCGTCAGGAGCGAGAATGCATTTCACTTTGTTTTGTTTTGTAATTGTTTTGTTTTGTATTAATGTGTTTTCTTTTGTATTTGTTTTGTTTTATATATGTGTTTTGTTTTGTTCCGGTTTTTTTAAATTTTGTTTTCATTTATTTTGGTTTTGTTTTGTTTTGGTTTGCTTTGCTTTGATTTGATTTAGCTTGCTTTTATTTCCTTTGGGTTTGTTTTGTTTGTTTTGGTATGGTTTAGGTTTTTTGTTGTTACTTTTTATTTAAAAAAAAGGGGGGGGGGGGGGGTTGTTTTGTTTTTGTCTCGTTTTCACACAACAGGTTCCTTGGCTTCACGGTCCCTGGTCCTGGCGTTGAGAGGGTCACATTCTTTACTGGGAGCGTCCACGGTGTACTCAATGTCCCAGTCTCCCTGTCTACGTCTGACGGTGCCGGAGGAGGATGACGTCACTCTGTTCCGAAGACAAGAAGGTGGGTTGGGGGTGGGGGGTGAAAATGGTAAAATGGCTTATGGTTAACGCCCCTATCAATACTATTAGCTTATTTAAGAGGCGGGACATCCGAGTTTAACGTCCGTCACCGAAAGGACTGAGCCAAATGGGAAATTAATTCATGTAAATTGCCTTTCCCAAGGACACAATAGCAGACCGAGCTGAGGCTCGAACCCCCGAACCCGCAACCTCACGATTACGAGTCCGGTAGTCTAACCGCTAGGCCACCGACGCCACGTTGAAGGGTGGGAAGATATGAGGGTGTGGGTGAGGGTATGAGTGTAGGTTTGGGAGTGGGTGTGATTGTAGGTGGGAGTGTAGGTGTGGGTGTGGGTGTGGGTGCGAGTGGGAGGGGGGTACGAAATGATGGGTTTATCATTTTGGGTTTGTTTGGTAATATCGAAAACACACAAACAAACAAACAAACAAACGTACAAGCCATACAAACGATAACAGAATACCACCAACAGTCGAAACAGCAATACGACAACTTTCTTACCCTACCCCACACACACCCACACAACAGCCATCCACCCACACACACACACACACACACACACACACACACACAAACACTCACAAACTAACCTTGTGGGTGGTTGGCGAGTGCTCTGGTGTGGTGTTCTCCTTCTTTTCTATCAAACATCAATCGTCCTTATCACTCCTTCTTTTTTGTGTTTGTTACTCTCTGATCTTCGGCACTTATATTATGACCTTATTGTGTTGCAAGTGCCTAAAACTCTTACTAAAACTAAAGCAAACAGACCTGCCAAAGTTGGTACTCGTAGCATTCTCCAGAGTTTCGGGCAGGTGTTTATGCAGTGTCTCCTGCAGCATGAAACACATCAGACCCCCGGCACACACACACACACACACACACACACACACACAC